GTGTGTGTGTGTGTGTGTGTGTGTGTGTGTGTGTGTGTGTGTGTGTGCGTGCGTGCGTGCGTGCGTGCGTGCGTGCGTGCGTCTGTCTGTCTGTCTCACTGTCATGATCAGCCAGGGTGAAGTCTCCCTCGTACAGCCCGTCACTGAAAGCCATCCCCCACACGGAGATCAGGTCGTTCAGAGCCGGTACGTTAGCACCCCCTGTGTCTGGCATCCACCACTGCCTGCAGGTTACATCAAGGAAACCATCTCCACAAAAGCTCACGATAAAAAGGCAAGACAAATAGAAATCTACATCAGACACTTGGGATGCACCAATACTGGCCCAAATAACTGGGTGGTGTATCGGTGAGGATGGGGCTGATCTATTTGATGCACTTCTATATCTATATATTATCTACAGGAATTTTTATTTCTGTTCATTTTGAAGATTTGTCACCGAGTTGCTGGTGTACCGTTTATTATTTTACTTTATGTATTTATTTGTTAGATTTTACTTTACAACGTTAGGAAAGAAAAGTTCATATCAAGCCTGATGTTGCCTTACACAGAACAGAATGATCCCAGTTACTTGCACACAGTGAGGCAAACTGCTTATTAACTAAACACTGGTATCGGATCAGTTCTCAGTATCGGCCGATACCCAAACGCCCAGGTATTGGTGTGTCCCTATAAGCAACAATTAAAAATCACCCACTATTGCTAATTAGTAGACAGAGCTGAGCATTGCTGTTAATTTGACATCTGCTATAAGCAGAGGATTGGTTAACGAAAATAAGAAACCACATGAAAGTCATTTCCCCAGAAATAAATTAAGATAAAATCCCAACACAACATGGCTCAAAGTAACTGCAGATTGTAAGGGATAGAAATGACCACAATAAAAAAAACGTGAGAATAATGGAGAAAAACGTAACAGCAGCAGCGCACTGATGAAATGAAAACGCAGAATTCCTAATTCACTTTTCTGTATCAGGGTCGATTGGTCCAGAAGAGGCAGCAGTGAACGAACAAAATCTGAAAATGAACCGTTGCCATTCAATTAAAACTGAATTACTCAGCATAATATTTTGCAGCTACAGAGACTATATTTAACTCTTTTAATCCTGTGGATATCGTGCAACAGCTTGTGTGGGATACGAAAGCAGCAGCGAGGAGTTGTTAATCATTCTTAGGTCTGCACGAGCAGCTCCGAATGCAAAACGTCGTGATGGATTACATCTTTTACTGAGCGAGGAGGCATGAATGGAGTCCAACACCGCAGAGAGAGAGAGAGACGGACAGAAACTGGGACACAGCGGGCTGTTAGCCACACGACGCACTTCGTCTTGTTGTCGTTATAACGTGATGAAGCTGTTTACTCATTGAACATAGATCTTTCTAAAAGAAATAGACACAGGGAGCTTCCCCCGAACAGGAGCAGTAACACGTTCCTGGAGTTTGTTAATCAAAAAAACACTGCATCACCTGTCAAATTTGTCTGAAATGAGCTGTAGTGATGCGAAGAATTTATTTAATGAATTAAATAATGCAGGGTCTGCAGATTGTCCTCTTTATTGCTATGCTAAGCGTCCCAGACGGCTGAATACCTGGTGTTTTCGTCGTAGAACTTGACCTTCCTCATGACAGAGGTGTTGTACCAGTCGCTGAAGACGATGAGCGACAGGCCATTGTCGATGTCTCTCCTCAGCTTGGTGATCTCTTCGGGGAAATACTCCTCCTCGCTGTCCACCATCAGCAAAGTGCCTGCGGGGAAAATGACAGCAAATAAACCCATTAGCTTGTTATCTTTTGCTCAACCATACAGCACTCCGAGAGCTACACAAAGTCTTCTAATACTGTTGCGTGTTTTTAGTCTCTGTGCTCTCACCATACTGGCTGGCATCAAAGCAGGTGATGGGCGCTCCGAGCACCTCGACAAAGTATCCCATACTCCTCAGGTGCTGGTACATGTCCTTGAAGTTAGTGTGGATGTGGTCTCCATTCCTGGAAGCATAATGTGTCCAGAGAATGAAAACAAACATCACATTTTAAAAATAATGGAAAGAAAATCAACCAAATCAGAGATGGGAGACGATATAAGTGCAGTGAAAAAGGCTACAAGTAAACATGTGTGTGTACACACACACACACACACACACACACACACACACACACACACACACA